AGATGCATTCCAAGTAAGGACTGGAGTCAGACAAGGCTGTTTACTCTCTCCCTTCCTCTTTCTTCTGGTGGTCGACTGGATTATGAAGACCTCGACATCTGAAGGAAAACACGGAATACAATGGACAGCTCAGAATCAATTAGACGATTTGGACTTCGCAGACGACCTAGCCCTCCTATCACGTACACACGAACAGATGCAGATGAAGACAGCCAGTGTAGCAGCAGTCTCTGCATCAGTAGGCCTCAGCATACACAAAGGGAAAACCAAGGTCCTCAAATTCAAGCGGAAAACAGCAATCCAATCACTCTTGATGGCGAAACTCTGGAAGATGTAGAGTCCTTCACATACCTGGGAAGCATCATCGATGAACAAGGAGGTTCAGATGCAGACGTAAAGGCGAGGATCGGCAAAGCAAGGGTCGCATTCCTACAATTGAAGAACATATGGAACTCAAAACAACTTTCAACCAATATCAAAGTGAGAATCTTCAATACGAACGTCAAGGCAGTTCTACTGTATGGAGCTGAAACTTGGAGAACTACAACAACCACAATCAAGAAAGTACAAGTATTTATAAATAGCTGCCTACGCAAGATACTCAACATCCATTGGCCGGATACCATCAGCAATAGCCTTCTGTGGGAGAGAACAAACCAACTTCCAGCTGAAGAAGAAATTAGGAAAAGACGATGGAAACCTTATTTTTTAAAATAAAATCATTTTTACTAATGTATTTGAATTTATGCCAACCAGATAATACGTGTATAATTTATTAGACATAATGGACTTGATGTTTATTGCTTATAATGCAAAAATTAACGATGAATTATTCATTAAATAAACATAAAAAACCACTTAATGAAATTTTAGTAATTAATGTACATAAAACATGAAAAGTTAGTCTAAACAAGGTTATATAGTATAGGATAAAGGTAATAATCATATTTGAGTTCCTGGTTTCCGGTTATTAATTAAACAATCCCTTTTAGTGTGTGTATTATGAACGCATTGCCTGTATAGTATCAACTAGTCACGTTTAGAGTCGAAAGTAACGGGTTCGATCCTAAACATGAATCCGAACGCTGTGATACCAGTATATCCAGCTGACAGTCTAAAATAGAAAGAGTACACCCTGGGACTAACCATCATGCAACTTCAATGAATGCAACGGTTGTGTATACTAATCGATCATTAATTTGTAAATAATATCATCTAATCTAGACCCGAAGTCTACGAAAACTCTGTAACTGCAAGTTACAATATGTTTACAATTTTGAATGTTAGTATGAGAAAAAACTTATTTGGTACAGTCAGATACAATTATATATAGCATAAAATCTAGGTTTTGTGCTTGTGAGTACTTATTAGTGAAGTGCAGATCTGTTTATGAGGTATCTAGTATTTCATCAAATACCTAAACTTGTACTGCACGATGTCACTACCTAGAACATCGGCACTCAGCTCTTGGATTCGCAATCAACAACTTACGGAGGTGGGAACGATGATATTCACTAAACGTTTATTAAACAGTTCAGATGCCATGAAATCTCTGTGACACTGCAAGTAACTGGGTGATAATATACTGGGTGATGTGAATTCATATTAAATTAAAATTTGTCTGGACGATTTAGATGTATCTTATCAAGAAGTGGTAATAAACTTGAGATGCAATTCTAAAACCTTCCTATCGATTGCTTACGTTCATTTAAATGAAAAATTTTTTAATCTTTGAACTCTGAAATTCGATCTTCAACATCTCATCAGACAACGTAAATTTATGGATACTGGCGTCATAATAAATAAAATTCCTCACGGTAATGTTCATATCAAACTTGATTCGAATCACTTTACCTTCAGACAGATATATACCACACCGTTCAGTGGTTGTACCTTTTTATTTATTCAAGGGATATACGATTCAGGATTGCGACAACACCAAAGTCAAAGCAGATCGTATGGGTACATGGTAAATCTGACCAAGGTATTGTGAATTTATAAATTACTTGTCTAGCCAAAATTACCGATCATATGCTCTTATCTGAATCAGATCGTACACCAGTACGATTAAATAGTTGAGGTTATCTGTGTAACTTGGATATTAATCTTTGATTCAGCAAATCGAAAAGCTGTTTCGTAACAACAGTTTATTAAACTGAATAACGCACTTCATGAATCTAAGTTTCTATGTTATCCGATTAATTTTTCAGACAATACTTAGTAATACAGACACTTTTTCACACGATCTGAATTGCGTGATTGCATTTAGATTTAAAATTTCCGATATGTGAAGCCTCTTACGTGATCAGATGGCATTTGGACAAAGTAATTCCCAACATATGGTTCATAGGGTGCCCTAGGAGGTATCCGAAAATTGTTAGCATTAGTTGAAATGTGAAAAACGATTAATTAAGGGAATAAAAGTTGAGCAGAAAAAAGAATAGATGACGAATGAGATAAACTGACTAGTCATAAGGAAGAGGTATATTTCTTTTTTAGATAACTTGGGCAGAAACTTTTAATTACGTATTGATCTCCCATTAAAGAGTCCTATCGCCACCTTGCAGATGATATAGTTCTGGTTGGTGGAGTGATTGGCGAAATTGAAGGAACTGAAAATTTTAATTGACGATCTCATCAGTTACCGTCCTATTTAGACCTGGATAAACCTTGGTAATTTAACTGTTCTTATCAGGTCTTACTCTAATATACAGTAATATCTATATGCATATATAAAATTATTGAACCAATCAACATTTATCTATTGACTTTAACACATCGATATTGGTACAAGGAGGCACTAAATACATGTGCGCCACACAAATCTCATTTGATATGTGTGAAGGCTGTGATACTCCCCGGGTGCCCAAACCGAAGCAGGTGGTTTCCTTAGGGGGCCACACCCGGAGCTTTCGACGTGAAGGTTTGATCCACAAGGCAGTGGAGCATCGTAAGGAGATGCGGTCCCATGGTAGCCGGTGACCAACGATTAGTTCATATGCCATTTGTTCCTTCAGGATACTGGAGTCCATGTGCACCATGGGTTTTCCAACTCCCCTAGGTGGACGCTCCATGTCCACCAACCCGGTTAAAGCGCCGGGCAGTGAGTAGGACTTCCTTGGCAGATGCTATGTACGCGTGGCCATGTGAGAGCATTTCGAGAGGGAGAGCGGACTCTCCCCACTCTCGGCCATACCAGTATTTGGGAGCTTGATGTTTACTTTAGCATTCGAACCCAGTACCAATCAAGGCAGTTTATGAGTCAGAGATGACAGTGGAATAGATCACATAAATAAGTGAAAAGTACAAATTGGTAGTGTGATGATAAGTGTACTAGTTGTGATAAGAATAACAAAGGCTTGAATCGACATTTCATAACAAAATGAAAAAATAGATACTGAGATAACATTCACTAAAAATTGTAAGATTATGTAACAAGAAGTGATCAGATGATTGGACAATGAGCCGTATATTTAGAAAAGGGAGGGTGAAGAAAAATAAACGAAGATTATGAAAAATAATAACAAACAGAATCTTTTATCAAGGTGAACTTGGCCAAGGAAGAGATAAGATGTTACAAATTTCTTATTGATACAAAGACTTGGGTTAATGGCTCGAATTCCTATAGCTTCTTATAAAAGTAAAGGAAGAGACCGGGTTAAATCAGGAAAACTAATAGGAATACGATCAATCAATCCAAATGACCTATTTCTATCTAGTACATGACCGCTACCGATCAAGTGTGATAAAACAAAGCTGCGTATTGTTTTGACGATACCATTTCCTAACTATGAAGGTAAGTGTTTACTAACTCGTTGGCTTAGTTGTCTGATTATGCGTTCGATATAGCTTGCCCCACAGGAGCAGCTGAATTCGTAAATAAACTTGGATGTCAAAACCAGGTAAATTATCATTTAGTTGAAGAATCATCATCGGTCGGCTGGATAGACACAGAGGCCAGTTGCATTAATTCAGCTATATTTGAGTAAAGCATGACGAGGATCTAATTGAAAACAGTATTGTTTACTTATGTATGTTGTTCTAATTCACAACATAGGAGTTCTTAAAATCAACTGTCTATATTCTTATTATTCCAGACAAAATGGAATTTAGTTATAATTGTTCACCATGATTTCACCAACATACGGAGTATGGTAGTTTTTCCAGCTGAAAGTTCAGTAGAAGACTTATTTGATAGTATCATTACTAGTATAAAATAGGAAACCTGAGACAGTGGAAAGTTGATTCATTTTTAAAACTTTGTAGCAATTTGAACAGAATAAATACACAACATTTTTAAGCACTATATACAACACTTAGTAAATGATTTCCCCGTTTGTTACTTAATTTTTGAAATCTGTGACAAGATTAACGACACCTTTATTTCATCAAGTATTAATCAGTGTTGTACTTGATATCATCGAATCAAGTAAACATTATATATTCAAATAAAGTACATTACTTCGCAAAGATTCTATCTAATGGTTATCTATGAGTTACAATCAGGAATCTTATATTGATGAAACAACGTTTTAGCAAAAGCTAAACTGTCATAATAGACTAGAAATGAACAAATATGATTATTTGATCAGGTCTACAAATAGTAAACTTCCTGTAAGTAATCGATTTTAAATGAAAATCTAGGACTTGTAGAGTTTGCGAACAAATTTTCTTCACACCAAAACTACTTAAACAACCGAAAATTTTGTAATGAAAAACATCATTTCAAAAAGTTGCCTACCCGGAATGCTGATACACAATTTCTTATGTACTCTTCGTTATTAACTCAGACTTGTATACTTGGTTCCGTCGCAAACATTTTGAATTTATAATGGTTAGTGATACTAGTCAGTTGACCATACAAACAGAGATTCAATCCTGAGAGTTAGTGGTTGAAAGCAAAACGCCTTAGAAATTAAGACAACTGTTCAACTACGAGCAGTACGGTACAATAATCCAAGAACGTGATAATGAAAACAAACCATTGAACTTTTAAAAAATCCATTTAAGATAGTTTGATTAAAGGTTTAAACGATGTAATACATGAGTACCAAAATTTAAAAAGGCTATAAGTAACAATTATTATAAAGTACATTGTTACATCAGCTGTGAATCAAAATTATTACCCGACTTAACAAGAAATTACTATTAAATGATGTAATACATGAGTACCAAAATTTAAAAAGGCTATAAGTAACAATTATTATAGAGTACATTGTTACATCAGCTGTGAATCAAAACTATTACCCGACTTGACAACAAGTTCCTACTATCTTGAAAATCGTTCATATCAACATTTAACTTAATAAAAATGTTGACAATTTGTTCATTTTTACACCTTTCTATTAGGCCATTTCATCTGTTCTGGAAGAATGTAACGCGATGCTAGTGTTAAAATAGGCGTACCAGTTGGAATGCCAGGACAAGGACCATTGCTTGAAGCGATATCCATATGTGTATACGCCAAAGGCTTTTCAGTATTTTTCAAATGCTAGGGAAGTTATAAAGAAATAAATATTTTGATTAAAAAGATTGCCGTTGTGTCATTCAATGACGAAAGCATTTATACGATTAGTAATACATGTTAATGTAATGTCCAGTTAACTAAACGAATAATAAAAGTGTCACAATTTGATCACAGTGGTTATCGAATGATGTGTACAAACCCCTTACATATTAGATATACTTACAAATTACATAAATTAAATTCCCTAAAAAGTGGGCGTAAGACGAAAATAGAGATAAAACTACACAAAATTCCTTACTGGGACATTAGGCACGACTGGTTAAAACTGAGAATTATCTTCTCTGAGTTGAGGATGTTAGATGACTCTCTGTGTTTGATTATCGTTGTCTCCGACGGATTACCGGCATCCAGTGGCAACACCATGTTAGTAATGCAGAGGTTCAAAATCGTGTGTTCGGGCACAGCGACGATAATTCAATTGGTATCACCACCTTGGAAAATTGAATTCAGTGTTTTTGACATGTTTTACAAATGCCATCCCAGAAAATGACAACGTTGCGACTGGTTGGGAAATGTTGAAAGGTGGTCAGTGTATGACCTAGCATCGTGATATGAAAGAAAGCTGTACAGGGCTGACTTCCGTTGATTCTTCACCTATCACTGGTTGAGTTTCTAGAGATGTTGCAACACAGTAACGTTATCAGACGTTATCAGACATGGTAAAGAACAGAAGCCGGTGCCGATCCTGCTGTAACTTTCTTGGTAAAAAATGAACGTAACGGAAATTCATCCTGGCTGTATTTTTGCTAACTGAACTGCCTCTCCCATTATTATTATTATTACACGCTCATACACTAAGTTCTGTTCGTTCTACCTTTTATTATACGCACTTTATATTATCCATATCTTCACAACTTCATTGTTATCGTGTGACGCACATGTATTTGGCACCCGATTGTACCAAAGTTAATGTGTTCAAATAAATAATTAATTAACAGAATTTTATTACTATTATTTTTTAATCATTATCACTTTGAAAAAACAATTATATATTGCGGATTGTACAGCTTTGAAAATGAACTCATTGAGAAAAGAACGGGTACTAAGTAAGGATGGCAAACCGATCGATCAAGTAGTGAAATTGAGATGGCTGGGACACGTGTTACATATGCCCAACAACCGACTGCCTCGACGTGCGATGTTCAGTGGTATAGGAGTAGGTTGGAAGAAAGCTAAAGGCGGCCAGACCAAAAACATGGCACAAATCCATGAAGTCACTGACAAGTGAACTGAGTCATGTTGGTAGGTGAAGACTACCCGCTTGGGGACCACGAGATAATAGCAACCGATGGTTAGAGACCCTGAATGACATGGCTCAAAATCGTTTGCAATGGCGCAGGTGCATCCACTCTCTGTGTTCTCCCAAATTCTAATCTTCTGAATTCATCATGTCTCTTTCTTTTTTCTCTTTCCAAATTTATTTCACTGGATTACACTCTGAATAACATCTTCAAATCCTAATGTTTCCGATTACTGCTTATACTCTTACTGCCTCTACCATACGGGATTTGGATCGACAACTGCATCTCTGTGCTAATGTGGTTTGGCAACTCAAACTGATGTATGTACGTACGTACGAAGCCCTATGTTGTTACTGACTGACTGAAATTTACTTTTCGAACAATCTGATCACGTATATATTTGTTAAGAACATTCATATACGAAAAGTCGGAAGGTAAACTTAGTATTTACCATTGGACACTTTTGCAGAAAACCACGTAAGCCTAGTTAATATCAATCTTATGACTTGTTTCAATTATGAGTTTAGAAGAGATAACGATAGATGCTCACCATCTACTCTTATTTGATTCCATTTGTGATGGTACATGTTAAAACACCCTCATTTGCAAATCAAATTGCTGCTTCCTACATATTTGTGATCACAAACACATGTAAAGTGATAAACACAGTGGGATGTGACTCAGTCGTTTACATCCCGTTTAGGTTCTCAGCGAAGCATGGACCTCGCTCTATCAATAACAATGACCTTTGCCACATAGTACATTTTACCGGAAAATGATGTTTCAACAAAAGGCTACTAGACTAATCTCTGAATAATAGGGTGATGTAGAAAACTTTTTCGTTGTCAAAAGTGTAGTAAGTCTCAATGTACTATGACCTATACATAGATTTATGAATTCATAGCATAAAAATTCTTCAATGTTTTTCTCCGTAACATCACATCGTTTCCTTATTACACTATTGAAAGATATCAAAAAGACTAATTGTTTTAAATAATAAAATAATAAATAAGACGTACGGAGTCCAAACCAGATGCAATAATCATAAATGCGACTGGAGACTGATGCCCTCTGCTACGTTTCCCACCAATCAGACGAGCAGAATTCAATAAATCAGAATATTCTTCATCAGTTTTATGCGCATCATAATCTTCACGTCGGAGTGTTGATATCTAGAAAGTGAATAATTATTTAACAATAATAATAACATATCAGCAAATTAACGTAGTTGAACAGCAAACTGCAAAAAAAAAATATGCTTTCAAATCAAACATTTAAAATTAGATAATCGAACTACTAATATTATAATGCAGCTCATTTATTAAATACAAGTCTATCGAAGATAAACTACTTAAACTCCGATAATTACTAAGAAAGAATGGTTATCCTACCAAATTTATTGACAGAAAGCCGAAGCAAAAACGCCAACTTCAAAGAGTACTTACAATATCAAAGAAGAGTTCTCCCATAAATATAGAATTTAAAAGAGATGCTGCTGAGGAAATTCTGGAGAGATCAATTTCAAAATATTTGAGAAGAGTATCTATTCTGTAATGTTTCGTATCGTCTTCTACAACAGGTTTATCATTTATGAATGTGTTAAAAATAAACCTCTGCTTAGGGTCAAGTGTATGTGTAACTTTATAAGTTTACTTGCTCTTATGAGACACCTTACACTGGGGACATGAAGCGAATGCCATCCAAATACATTATAAAACACTACCTGGTGTAGATTTTCAACGAACACAAAACTGTCACCAGCTCAATACAGGAACATCTCATCAACTATGAGCACATTGTTCATAAAATAATAATTTACACAGTTTAATGAGTGGGATCATAAGGAGTACATATTAAAAATAGGCTCAATTACATAGCATAGGGCTACCGATAATATCCAGGAAGTTCTGGACAGGTGTACCAATCTAATATGGGACTTCTGAAAAGAGAACATTCGCCACCCAGCAAGAGATCAAACTCATGACCTCTGGATCTCAAAACGAGGACAGTCCAGTTTCTACTGACTTTTAGCGGTTATCTATGGTTAGTCCATGATGTGTATAGTACAATATTATAGAGTACTGATTCAACAAGAGCGAAGAATTAATAATACATCACCACATATACAAATTCAGAATCTTTTACTACAAATCGTTTTCATAATAAGTTATATTTCATTACTTCGTTAAGCGATTTGTACGTATGACCAGAATAGCATAAGAGAATTAGAGGAAAAACAAAACAACGTAATCTAACTACTACTTAGCTTAACGCACTTCATGCATTTCCCCTAACAATGATCCAGCAAACTGATAGTCATAATCTTCTCCAAGTTCTTTAGCCGGACCATTACAAACGATACCCTATAAAGAAAACAAAAAGCATAAGAATATACAAAAAAAATACGTGAAAGTAGACCCAGATGACTACAACATAAGTAGATTGAAGTATCAGAAATCATTGCAAAGAATTATTTACGCGACACAACATAAATTTAATTAGATTTTTGATTTTCTTCTAGTACTATTAGCATTATGTATTATAAGAAACACAATTGTATGAACGAAGAATATTCTTTTCAATAATTTCTCATCAGGTTCTACAATTATAAATCCAGATTAATAATCCACAAAATTGGCCAGCTTTAAGGCAAAATACATCGTCATTTGGAAATTGTAATATGTGAATAAGGAATTGTTTGTTATATAAATAAAATCGTTAATGTTGGGGCTGACTAATATGAAAATGAAACAAAGACATTGTTTACAACCCTGAAAGAAAATGGATATCCAGAGAAATTTATAAATAAAAACTTAGCCAATAAAAGACAGCGTAGAGAATGCCCAACGGTAAATAAAAAGCCTCTATATATACGCTAACAATTCAGAGGCGACGCGCTGAGTGAAATGTTAAGACTTTAGTTAAGTAGATCAATTCGAAGGACTTTTAACGCAGCTAAACTACAACTAGTATTTTCCACACGACCAATAATCACTCCGAGGTTGAAAGATAAATTACCTAGACTAGCCACCTCCTTCTGTATCTATCAATTCAACTGCTCCTGTGGAGCAAGTTATGTTGGCAGATGTTCTAGGAATTTGTACATTCGGGCTCGTGAGCACCTACCCGTGTGGTTAAGCAAAGGTGTTGTCAAAACTGTTAACAGCTTCATCATAGACCATTTAGTCCAAACAGGACATACAGCCAACATGGAGCAATCTTTTGCAATAGTCTATCGTGTCAACAGCAATCTACCTAATTCCGTCAGACTGCGAATCCTACAGACGGCTGAAGCAAATGCTATTCGGATCAAAAAACCAGAGCTTTGTATCCAAAAGAAGTATGTTCAGCCACTCCTTTTACCCTGGCCAACTAGCTAGTAATCAATCTCATAATGTGGTGACGTAATCTGACTAATGTTCATTTTATGTCCCAAACTTATTATTATTACTGTTATTATTACTATTATTGTCTTTACACTTGATAACCTTTCTTGAGGAATTTATTCAATATCCACCCCTGAATCTACTATATTTGACCCAATTATTTTACATATTACGCAATTTCTGATTTGTAATCAAAATATTCTCTCTCTCTCTCCTACCCCATGCTGATCATATTTATTCTGATCATTTATCACACAATTTCATTTCACTTATAAACTGATTCAAGTTAACAACTTTATATTAATCAGCCCCAACATTAACAATTTTGTTTATATAACAAACAATTCCTTATTCACATATTACAATTTCCAAATGACGATGTATTGTGCCTTAAATCTGGCCAATTTTATGGACTATTAATCTGGATTTATAATTGTAGAACCTGATGAGAAATTATTGACAAGAATATTCTTCGTTCATATAAATTGTGTTTTAATAGAATGGGAATTTTTCAGCAGTATTATAAGAAACCGGAAATTGAGATGTATAAAACCCCATACAAAAACTAAGACTTATTAAGATACATAAAATAAGAAAGTATTTATATGCGTGACTTAATGAATAGATGTAATAAAAAAAATCCATGGCAAATGTATCCGGTAAATAATATGTCCATTATTATAAACAATGATTAATATGAATACACATTAAAAATGGGACGAAACGACTTATTTAGGCAATTTAAACAGAATTTTTGTAGAACGTGGAAAAGCCATAGCTAATGAATCTTATGAGAACTATATACATCTGTAGGAATAACTAGAATAAAAGATTGTGCAATATGATAAGATTTGAAAGTGAAGTAGAAAATGGAATAAACTAGTCGGCAGTGAAGAGAGTTGGGTTGTTGAGCTACAGATTATGATAATTAGTAGATAGTTTATTTAGAGCAAACAGTTCAAGATTCGTCAGTAGTACAACAGCAGCAAAAATGCACTGATTTACATAAGTTACTATCAATGAAAAAGAAACTCTCGACAGTAACTTTGATGCTTCGGCGAATGCACAATACAATTTCGGCAACAATCATTTGCTCACTAGTAACTAGTTTTAAGAAAAAAATCCCAGTGAGTTAAGACGGCTGTTCAACCATGTTTGGTGAGACAGGATGGTTGTGAAATATTACGAGTTGGTTGAAGCTAGACTTGTACATCATTGAGTCTAAGCTAACGGTCTAGAGATTAATCGTTCGCGCGCGTGAACGAAGGCTTCGGACACGATTCATGCGTACATAGTCGTGGATGCGCACTGTTGAAGTGCTCCATTAAAGGGAGAAACGGCCTTCTAGTTCTACCAGGTTGTTAATGCTGGTATAACTTGGATCGATTTTTGATTTCAATGAAATAACCATTTAATAAAATATGTTTGTAGTTAATTAGTAAACAGGATGAAATTGAGTAATAACAGAGGGAAAGATCAATTACTGTAACTGATATAATTGGTACACAGACTTTGATTATGAATCAGTCAACAACTCTCTTCTAGACATGTGGAAAGTTGTAAATATAAGTCAAGCTTGGAAACTATACGATTACTTTGAAATGAAAGTTCAGTTTATTTCTAGATAATAATGCAGTTAATTTCGCTATATGTTTATAAACCTCCAGAAACAACCTATTATCATGAACTGAATCGATGTGTACATACGATTAAAACTATTCATCTGCATATTGACACTTATAAACAAATGTCTGTACTATATATGTCACACAACGATTATTTAGTAACACTAGATAAGGTAAAATTAAACAAATTATCTACAAATAAACTATTATATTCCACATTTTATTTGCATACATGTTATCAGTGTGTTATAAGATTGGTTCAAGTTGATTTTCACAAGTTCAATAATACTTTATTCGATCATCCATTTGTAATCCTAATGATTTTAGTCAGACTTTTGAAAGAACACTAAATCTAGGTCATTTATACGGTGTGTTCTGTGCATAATTTAGTCTGTCGTTTATAATAAAATTATAAACTCACTTATAATACATAGTAATATTCAATGGAAAGGATTCCACAAAGCGATTCAATAAATAAGCTTAAACATTACCGTATATCCTAGTCCATAGCACAACCCAACATGACCAGTCAAAGTAGCGATTGTCAGTAGTCGTGGATTTGATACTTTTAATGCCTACAAAATAGATGTAAATGGATATTTCGAACAACCGTTGTGATATTAAAAAGAAAACTCTTGAGACCACCGCTGTAGTTATCATCATTTTAGACCGTTGCCTTTGTATTCCCAAGTAGCATCTTGATGTAAAGCCGCAAAAGCTTTGCTTCGTTTTGGTGACCTACCTGAATTAATTGTTTTATTATTGCTTAATCAAAGTCATGTGAATATTATTAAAGCCCCCAGATGCCCTGGTATGGCCGAGAGTCGGGTGGGCCCGCCCTCCCTCTTGAAATGCTCTCACACGGCCACGCGTATACAGCCTCTGCCAGGGAAGTCGTACTCACTGCCTCCTCGTGGCGCCATTCAAACTGGCTGCCTTCAACGTTCGCACATTTATGCAGGTCGGACAACAGATAGGGCTGGCTATGTCTTTGGAAAGTCTTAATATTGATGTTTGTTGTCTATCCGAGACCCGTATTCAAGACTCTGGTGAAGTACTACAAACTTCGATCTCCATCTGTCGCTTCGAAAAGCTTATTTTACGTGCGTTTATCCGGGGACCCCATGGCATCTTCGTCTGATCTTGCTAGCGTTGGTGTCGCACTAAGCGCTAGAGCTGAGGCAGCACTAATCGATTGGATCCCCATTAACAGTCAGTTATATGCTGTTAGATTAGAGAGTTCCATCAAAGTGATAAGAAATCGGCGTGAGAAACGATGTATTTTCGTCATCTCCGCCTATGCCCCGACAGATTGCAGCCCGGATGCCAACGAATTGATCATTATGAACGGATTGATGTCAGTAAGTTAGTTGCAACTTCTGTTGCAAGTAAGTATTGAAACGAGCTAGTTTCTAGGCTAGCTACCATTCCACCGAAAAGTATAGATGATCATTGGTTGCAACTTCATGACGCCATGAAAATGGCGAGTAAAGCCACTTGCAGCTTTGCGAAACGTCCGGCTTATAAGCACTGGGTTTCTTCTGGTTCCTTACAACTCATTGAAGCCCGTCGGTCTACTCCGGGTGACCGTGAGTTTGACCACAAACGAAGGATGTTACGTAATGAAATCGGGCAAAGCTTGCGTAAGGACTGAGAAGCCTGGTGGTTGGAGAGTGCTAATGAGCTGGAAGCAGCAGCTGCCGAAGGCCCTTCCATCTCATCCAAGCCACTGGCAGCAAAAAGTCTGGTGTGAGCGAAACAATCTGTGAGGAGGACGGGATGCCAATCACTAACATCCATCGACGTCTTGGACGATGGGCAAAATTTTTCAGAGAGCAGTTCAACTGGCCTGCTGCCCCAGCAACATCGGTCAGACTGTCCTGCCCTCCATGGCCGGTGACGACTGATCCACCAAATGAGGCGGAAGTCCGCAAGGAACTCCAACTCTTGAAACGCTACAAATCACCTGGCCCAGATGACTTACCTCCGGCTCTTTTTAAAGATGGTGGTGACTTTTTGACTAAGGAATTGACGACGTTGTTTACAAAGGTTTGGGAACTAGAGAGTGTACCAACGTCATGGAATGAGTCGATAGTTGTCCCTATCTTTAAAAAGGGTTCACGTCGTTCCTGTAACAACTATCGGGGGATAAGTTACTTCCGATTGCGTCCAAGCTATTGGCTTCCGTCATTCTTCGTAGGTTGTTCAAAACCCGAGAAAGATTGACTCGCGAGGAGCAGGCTGGGTTTCGTTCTGGTCGAGGATGTATTGATCATATCTTCACCCTCCGCCAAATGTTAGAACACCGCCATACTTATCAAAGGCCAACAATCGTAGTGTTTCTTGACATCAGGGCTGCCTTCGATTCGTTGGACAGGACTGTTCTCTGGGATTGTCTATTGAAGAAGGGTGTGCCTGAGAAGTTTATTAACATCCTAAAAGCCCTATATAAAAACACCTCAGGCAGAGTGAGGGCATACAACCACCTCTCTCCATTGTTCCATTCGAGCAGTGGGGTTAGGCAGGGTTGCCCAATCTCACCATTCCTCTTCAACTTTGCCATCGATGACATTCTGGAAACAGCTCTGATGAATGTAAGTAATGGTGGTGTGGATCTGTTGCCTGGAGAAAGACTTCTCGACCTTGAGTATGCGGACGATATTGTCTTACTGTGCGATAATGCCCAAGGCATGCAATCCGCACTTAATCAGTTGGCAATCAGTGTCCGTAGGTATGGTATGTGCTTTGCACCTTCGAAGTGCAAAGTACTTCTACAAGACTGGCAGGATTCTAATCCTGTACTCACCCTGGATGGTGAGCAGATAGAAGTAGTCGAGAAGTTCGTGTATCTGGGTAGCTGCATAAGTGCTGGTGGGGGTGTGAGTGATGAGATCAATGCACGTATAGTGAAAGCCAGAGCGGCTTATGCCAATCTGGGCCACCTTTGGCGCCTTCGTGATGTTAGTCTGGCTGTAAAAGGTCGGATCTACAACGCGTCGGTGAGAGCAGTTTTGCTCTATGCTTGTGAAACCTGGCCTCTCCGAGTTGAGGACGTTAGACGACTCTCTGTGTTCGATCATCGCTGTCTCCGAAGGATTGCTGACATTCAGTGGCAACACCATGTCAGTAATGCAGAGGTTCGGCATCGTGTGTTCGGGCACAGAGATGATAATTCAATTGGTGTCACCATCTTGAAACACCGACTTCGGTGGCTTGGACATGTTCTACGAATGTCGTCCCAGAGAATTCCACGTCGTGCATTATTTGCCGACTCTGGGACTGGTTGGAAAAAGCGGAGAGGTGGTCAGTGCATGACATGGTGTCGTGGTATGAAAGAAAGCTGCAAAGGACTGGCTTGTGTTGGTCCTTCACGACTCCCTGGCTGGGGTCCGAGAGATGGTGCTACACAGTGGCTAGAGACGTTATCAGATATGGCTCAGAATAGAAGCCAGTGGCGATCCTGCTGTAACCTTCTTTTACTTTCTTCATAAAAAGTGGTTGTATCTTCCTTAACTGAAAGATTTCTTCCGATTGTACCTTTCCGTTTCCCCCATTATTATTATTATTATTATTATTATTATTATTATTATATTATTATTATTATTATTACACTACCTTACACTAATCTGTTCGTTATTGTTTTTTTTCTCTTCGAATTCTCATTGTTTTGTGTGGCGCATATATATTCGGTGCCCTCTTGTACCAATATTTATGTGTTCAAATAAATAAAGAATATTACTGAAATAAAAACATCAGTGCGTAGGCTTGCCTTAACTTCAGTTATGAGTTTGTTCTACACATTTGTATGTAGTTGTGGTGTCGTTCGATTGCCTTTGTTATATTAGAGGTTCAATCTATTAATCAAGTTCGATTCATTGTGCTCCACCTGACTGGGGCAATCGATAACACCTAGCAGCGTGTGTTTTCGGGCTTAAAAGAACTAATAACCTCCCTGGGATTTGAATCCACATTACAAGAATTTCTCCTAAACGCCTTCATATACACAGCATAGCAAAAAAGTTCAAGCGGTTGAGTAACCTACACAAGTAACCATGTTTTAAATTGATCGGTCGAATGCAATCAACGTTAAGAATTACATAAACATGGGAGTCGTTGCTACTCAGTGACCAACCGTTTTAAATATATCAGTCGTATGGGATAGCTGCCTGGACAGAACAATTATAACCCCACTGTAAGAATACATCTACACTTGCGTACATAAACTATTTCAAGTGCAGATCATAATAAAATAATCGAAAGTGTCGTTGTGGGACAAAATGGACGATTGTTCAGTTAACCAGACAAAAATAAAATATTGTGAAAATTTAGTTTTACACGCTTCATTTTGAAACAAAAAAGTAACAAGTAGATAGATAAGACAAATATACATTTATTCACCTACCTTCTCCTTAGCTTCACATAATAAATCAGTCATAACCATTCGACCTTCAGCATCAGTATTGTTCACGCGAACCCGTACTCCAGCACGTGAAGTTACTATTTCATCACTTACATAAGCATTTTCACCAATACTGTTACGAACTAAACCTAAAGTACCATGCACCTAAGAAAAACAGAAGAGAAACAATTGTTTGATGAATATCACCTTCAGGTAAACAAAATAAGTTATAAATCATTGACCACATTCTTATAATTAATACTGACAAAAAGGAACTCTGTAAACATGCTGAAGGTTATTAGATTTAATATTTAATCTGACTGAACAGATAATTGATCAGGGAAGTAAAACGTAACATGCTATAGATGCATAAAGTGAATAACTGGGTCGAATCATTTAGAAGGACAAATATTGATCAGAATAAGTTAGTTATTAAAAGGAATATGTCAAGGAAAGCCACTAAATGCCTTATACCATAATATCAACCAGGTAGTATTTGTTTTATTCTACATACAATCCAACGGTGAAAAACTCCACCGAAAGCCCTTCTATGATTACTGGGGGTCTCAAGCCTGAATAAAGGAGGGTCGAGCATGGGCTCAACAACCACATCTCGTAAAAAACAGTCAGTGAGGGAGGAAGAACAAGTGACGACAAAATGGAAAGAAAGACACATCATCAAGAGTCTAAAGAAAAGATCTCAGCATGCACGAGCACTACAGACGCATCACACTACTATCACTACCAGCAAACCTTTTCAACAGTGATGTGAACCGGACCAAAAATTAAGTAGACGACAAGATTCGAGTTCAACAGATCAGATTCCGTGAGGATCGGTCGAGCACAGACCAAATCGCTACACTCCTGATCAATATTGTGCAACCGATTGAATGGAATCGCTCACTACACAACAACTCCCTTGATTATGAAAAGGCATTTGACAGCGTGAATAGGAGAATCTTTCGAAACCTTCCTCAACAATATGGTGAATCTCAGCAGTAGGTCTCTACATACACAGGGCAATATGTTAAATCCCCAAATACAACACGGAACACACTAACCTAATCACACTTGATGCAGATGCATTAGAACACGTGGAAATTCTCACATATCTGAACAGCAGCATCGATGAACAAGGAGGGTCTGGTGCAGATGACCACACAAGGAATGGCAAAGAAATGGCCACCACATTCCTATAATTGAAGAACATACGAAACTCAAAACAACTGTCAACAAACATCAATTCAGAATCTTCAATGCGAACGGGAAGACAATTCTAGTGTATGGAGCTGAAACTTGTAGCATTATCACAACCATCATCAAAAGAGTACAAGTACTTATGAGCAGTTGTCTTAACATGATGTTTAATGTCCGTCAGTTGCATACCACCAGCAACAGCCTACTGTGGGGGAGAACAACCCAGCCTCTAAATTAAGAGGATATTAGGAAAAGACGTTGTAAGTGAGTAGGACATACATTGTGGAAATCATCAAACTGGATCATGAGGCAAACTGTAACTCGGAATGCTGAAGAGAAACGGAAAAGAGGAAGACATCAATAGAATGAAAAACAACTGTAAAGAACTGTCCAGAACATAGCTGGATGGAGAATTTTGGTGAGCGGCCAATGCTCTTCCACGAGGGGCAACAGGCGTAAATAAGTATCTAATGAACTAGTGTTCCATATTCTTTAGTAAGCAAACATGAAAACTCTAAACGTTTACCTTAGTAATTTTAAAAACAACTTGAAGTTCAATTAATGAACACTATAATATAATGTAAACACTGCTGTTCCATAAGCCCTATTAAATCAACTGCATAAAAACCAAATTCGCAATTATAACCTTTAAGTTTTTCGGTTTCAATAAGTTTAAAATTTTGAAAAATCCGGCCACAGCAGCTGCACCACATTTATCCCGATGCATTGTAGCCATAATACCTCCAACTTTAAGATCTGAGCCACCTGTATCATAGGTAACACCTTTACCAACTAAAAACAAATTGACTAATTGCTGAGGATCAATTTGTGATTCCGTAGATCCATTGTATTCTAAGTGTACAACGTGACCACGATGTCTTTCATTATCTATGAGTAATTAAAAAACACAAAACATTACAATTATATTTCAATAGATAAATGGGACAATTAAGAAAACATGGCGCACTAGTCTATTAGTACGCTTAGTGCTGATAGACGATTGTTCAATCCGCGTCGCTTAGCATTCATAATTTAAAACTAAGGAACCACAAAAATTCCTACGATGTGAAGTCAGAATACCAAAAACCAGTACAAGTCATATCTTGAGTAAACATTACATTGAAATAAACCAATGTTAATGACGAATAAAATATCACACTGGGAAACAAAAACAAAAATTACTCTGAATAATTATCAGATAGAATTAAAAACCGAAGTAATGTTGAACAAAGATTACAATGAGTCAAAATATCATTTTGCCTTTTTTAATCCGCCAAATCAATTATTGTGCTCAACTTTTAGGTTGAGGTTCTCATGAAAGTCATTACTAGTGATTAGATGTATTATGTTATACGAAAATACAGAAGATGTATTTATTCTTTTTCTCACCATTATTCATGGGTTAAAATACTGTCTAACAGTAAATAACAATTGATTTCATTACCTACTTTAGATAAAATATTACATGTTCCATTTCATCAATAGTACTATTACATGTGTATTTTTGCCATACATCTTGTTAGTTACATCGTGCTATGTTACGTGACAACTTGGACTAATGTAGATTCTTCCCAGGTCCTATGTTGTTTATGATTGACGGAGCCACATTTCACAAAAGTGTAAGATATTAAAATAACCAAGAACAGCATTAAGTGGGAAAGAAACAAATAAAGGTAATCATACATTCACGATTTAGATTAAAATAAAGAATGAACCAGGGTTTCCGGGATTAATTGAACTAAAACATGCAAGATCTTTATTCAAAGTACTAGATATTTCAATACCAGAAAACAGAAAGACGACTAAGACTATCAATGCACAACTTCACAAACTAGTAAGGAGCGTCATATTAAAATTAGAACACCTTTCTGTAGTGCTATGCCTGACTCCGGTATGTTAATGAAATATATGTTCTATTAACTTCGCATATATTCTGTTGACTGCTAGCATTAAAAACAGTGTAGATATAAAAAGTCAAATACGAAATTACTTGAGGAACACGTATTTAGATATTCGTTAATAAAAATGAATGATAATAAATGTAAAGAAATCCATGAAAACTGAAGTGGTAGAAATGGCCAATTCAGTGAATATTATATATAGCATAGTCTTTAAACGCATGAAAGAGCCAGACACACAATTCCCATTTAGACATTAAAACACGAAGTTTAGCAAAGGGAACCCTTTCCAGGGAGATTCAAATATAAATTCCATGAAGACATTAAATGAATATGATGTAACAGAAAGGTTGTAATACTAGGTTATGTAGTGTAAATAATCACAATAAGAAGTTGTGTATGCACATAAAAAGCCTCGTAAAATTACCAAGTTAGCAACGGATTATAACGTGAATGGAGAAAGGCAATTAAAATGTTTTTGTTACGATGATGAATGAAATCGTTGGGATATGAGAAATAATTAAAGAGAGAAGAGGATATTTCCAAATACGATATAAAATATAATAATTATTATAACAGTTTAAGGTCATGGTAAAGATAAGGATAAGATGAACTTCTTTTGTACTCGCAGTTCTGGCTTTATCTCATTAATGGCGGCAGCTTCTGTTGTTTTGGGGAGTCGAATACAAGGAAATCTATGTAGATTTTGATAAATTCTATAAAATCAACCTATGGATAAGTGAAGTGATTGGAATCGGTTAAATGTTCGAAAATAGAACTATGCTTTTTGCTCTCACCATTGGAGAATCGTCATGGTTACGACCAACGTACCTCACACCAAAAGAGCATAAAAACTGACAAACGGACATAGAGGGTTGTCCGTTACAGATACATGTGACAAGCCTCTACCAGTGAACATTAGTTGCAGCTTCGCAGCACAGAACATTTTATAGCTGTCGTTAACTGATTTTAAATACAACAAAAGTTTGGTCACCTTTAAATCCTAGGTTCACAAAATGATATTTCCTACAAAAAGAATTTTCGAACACTATGTTCCGAATGCATTTCACGTTTTTCTCTACAAATTGGCTTGAAAAGCCATCGTTCTAAGAAATAAGATTTCGCGCACTAGAGTCGTTAGCCATGGTGACACTTGAGGAGGAAGTTTAGAGTTGAAAGTCGACGTGGGAGGAATAATAGGAATTGAAGAGGGAGACTGATTATAAACACAGTGATTTTGAGTGCTGTTAGGGATATGAGAGCGGCTATCACTTCCTGGTTGCCCACACCGTCGAAGGGTTCTTCTGGAGGTACTTGAAAAGAAAATTGGGTTAGTGGTGGTCTTAGTGACCTGAGAGCGTACTGCAGTGCCCAAGGGACAACCCCACCCCTCCTTATGGAAAGGCAGAATCGCTGTTATGCTGGTTGTCTGAAGGAAAAACCTTACTGCTGTCACACCTCTGCACATTCAGCAGTACGACTTCGCCCTCGGATCTTGAGTTTGCTGCTTTTAATCTCACCGCTCCTCGGCCAACCTGTCTGGAATGGTAGGACCTTGAGGAACGATTATTCCAGCCAGTATACATCGACTGGTTCATAACGATAAGCAAGCCCGACCTCTACGTCAAGGTGGCGGCAACGGTTAGGATCTCCCTGTCAGAATCTTATTGAGCAATGAAATAGTACGGCCTACTATATTTTTCAATTTGGAATCACGGGAAGGATGGCATGTACTAAGAGAATGAAAAATTTCAACTAATTGAACATTCTCGTCGCAATAGGCAGAAGTGTCGTCCATATAACAGTTCAGCAAGAAGTAGTGTCCATTCATAGTTGAGTAAACAAACTTCACTTCACTTATGTCTCACAAATAATATCGAATTTCTATTTTCCTTGACAATCCTAAATTCACATGCTTTAATGTCGAATTTCCGATTGGTTGGGTTCGTTCAAATGCTGGTAAACTAGTGTACCCAATTGATACAGGTTACGTGGCTTTGTAAGAATAGCTATTTGAAGTAGGATGCAAATCATGATAATTAACAAGAAGAGAAAAAGTCGAGGGGCCATTTCCCAGGTACTGGGAAATACTTACGTCAGATCTGTTTCCAGAACATCTTCGATGCCAAAGTCGAAGTGTGGTGAAATTGGGCAACTGTGCCAAACCTCATTGCATGAATAAAGCAATGGAGAGAGGTACTTGTATACCTTCACTCTGTCTGATGTGTTTGTGTACAAACTTCAAAATATCAGTAAACTTCTCGAGGGACACTTCTACAAAAGACAATCCCAAAGCGCAATCATACCCCACGAATCAAAGGTAACACTCATGTCAAGAAACATAGATTTCTAGCCTTCACGAAGTGTGGAAAAGCAAAAACATTCGCCGGACGGTGATATGATTAACAACTTGATCTAAAATCAGTCAATCTCATTAGTTTTGTACAATTTGCGAAGCACAACGAACGTTAACAGTTTGGATACGATCGAAAGTAGACGTATGCCACAGTAATCACTGTATTAACAAGACAGGTCAATTTCAAACACAGAGATGATGACTGCTTCATTCCATAATGTTAGGGCACTGTTTTCCTAACATTTCCAAACAAACACGTTAGTTTCCTGACCAGGTGCTCGCTATCATTTTTAGAATAAGCCTGAGTCACATCGTTAAGGCCTGGTGAATTTCGGAGTTCAAACAGTTCCTCAAGAACCTTCACTTCGTAAGGACCGGTTGCCACCGGCCACAGATCAAGCGAACGGATCTGCAGAGCTCCGTTTAATTTAATTAATATTATCATAACTCCTTGAAAGTATAGAATGTGAAGCATGCTACGTTCGATAGTCCTAATGACACATAAGTGGTATCATTTGCACATGGAAAACTACTAGATATTTTCAATATATGTAAACATGTAGTACACAAATGAGTTGAGCTGTTTTTTTTTCATTATTTTGCTGTCAAGCTAAAGAAAATAACTTACTTCCACGATCTACTATAGCTGCCAGAGGGTAAAGCCCTCGATCAACAGGACAATCAGTCATCTGAACAGGTTCTGTCAATTCTTTTTGAAGGTACGTCACTATATTCTTTGCACTCATACGTTCTGGGTCAGATCCACCTATATCACGTGCTACTCGTAGACCCTCTTCCAAACACCACGCCAATCCAGTCTATATAGTTTAGATAAGGAAAAACTAAGTCAAAATCATGGTTTATGAATAAATAATTATGAATATATATAAATACATTAGTTTCGGAAAGTAGAAATGGCTATGGATGAAGAAAACCACATAGTATAGACAGTAATGAAATAACAACAGTTATTAACTGGTTAACTCAAACGCTAGTCTACAATCTAACATATCCGATGACTAACCGGACCACTAAGTAGACTGTTATACATTTCCAGAGCGATTGATTTTACTGATAGCTGGAATCTCTAGATAAATCGAGGTGCCCATTACAGAGCTTCAGTATATAGCATTAACAATCACAGCGTTATTAGGAAAGAAATAGAACTAGTGAATAGAAAACAAGTGATCCATATGAACTAGTTTTGTAAACTGACAGATTAACAAAAAGTCCAATTAAGCTAACGAAGTAAATCACAACCTAATATAAATAATTTAACAAATCTTTCAGCGTAATGTATGAGATACAAACCCGATTGATGGATTTGTGGAGATAGTAGAGAGACATATGTCCAAGAACCACTTGTATATTTTTCAATTATCTTCGTTTTCTTCATTATTTGTGTGTAACACAACTTTTAAATATACTGGTTAATTGTTGCTTGTCGTACACGACCAGCATCATAAGCGTCGTATTATTGTTGTTTCCATACATGGTTTGAATAGTGATACAAGAATATGGTCATGATGCGTTAAACATGAGAGAAAATAAGTTGGGTTCGAAGTGCAACTTTCAATCACTTAAACTACATTGAGTGAAGTTATGGGACAGCCGATATCCTGTTGCTGTCCAAGTTACAGAATGAAGTAACTGAGATATGACTGAATTGTAGTTTAGGAACTCAAACCAAACCAGGTGAAAACTACACCATAAAAAGATATGACAAGCATTAAACCTAAACAAAGATCATTACTTACGACAATATTTTATAAATAACCAATTTGTTCCAAATATTAAAGCATTAACAACAAAATAATAAAATCTTACAAGTTTCTCGTGATCTACTGCGTAATGTGTCCCAGAAAACCAACCCAGGACTTCAGCTTTTTGTGACTGAATAGTTTTGTGCATGTAGAACCTTCCGGACGGTCAAACTCACGAACTTCGAGGGGCTGATTAAATAAAGAAAATTTAAAATTAGTGCCTTCATTTTACTGGCGCCACATACATTTTGAAAGTTTAATTTTGTAGTATAAGAAATGGAAGTTAAAAATGTGTTTAAACTCCCCCCCAGATAGTTCACCACTTGAAATCATCATCAAGAGGAAAACGATAACAGGAGAAATAAAGTGACTATGGGCAACAAATCGCTTAAGAGAGTAACAGACGGATAAAGACAAGACAGAAATACAAAAGTATTGGATAATATATACAGTTAGAATGAACGTTTTTATGCAGTTTCTATTGGTTTTGAGCTTTATTGCTAATTACACAGACACTGATCAACAACCCATTCACCAGTCAGATTTCAAAGACGAATGTAACGTCCTCTCTTAATTTAAACCCTGAATGAACGATAAACGAACGAGACGTTAAGTGATATGAACCATTATTGCTAGCAACGCCACAGGAGTATTCACCTTCCGCAGAACATAATTTTATAAATTTATTGTAATTTTGAAAAACAACTTTACTTTCAATGACCTATAAAATATCACTCGATTGAATATAGTACGCATAGAAAACTTTAATTTTTATTTATTTTAACATATAGATATTGGTACAAGGAGGCATCAAATACATATGCGCCACACAAATCTCATTCGATATGTGTGAGGGCTGTGATACTATAAATCAGTGAATTATTATTTATTATTTGAACACATAAATATTGGTACAAGAGGGCACCACACATTTTCATTATCATTATATTTGTGTGTGGGCTGTGATACTGCCCGGGTGCCCAGACCGAAGCAGGTGGTTTTCTTAGGTGGCCACACCCCAAGCCTTTGACCTAAAGGTCTGACCCACAAGGCAGTGGAGCATCGTGAGGAGATTCAGTCCCATGGTAACCGGTGACCAACAATTGGTTCATACGCCATTTGTTCCTGCAGGATACTGGAGCACATGTGCACCATTGGTTTGGGATCCGTTTAAAGCGCCGGAAATTCACTTTTCGTCCTCTATTTTCGTGAACAACACCCTCGCCAAGAGGAGGCAGTGAGTAGGACTTCCCTGGCAGAGGCTGTATACGCGTGGCCATATGAGAGCATTTAGAGAGGGAAGGCGGGCCCACCCCACTCTCGGCCATACCAGGGCATTTGGGTGCATCATTGTTTCTTTACTTATTCAGTGAAACGGTAACGAAATTGTATTTTGGTTCAAAGCACATTCCGGGGTGCGTGGTCTATCGCTGCGTACTTCGGTATCTTGGTCATGTCAGATGAGTCGTGGTGCAAATCAGTGAAACCATACAATCGATTCAGTATTGAATTAGTTGTAGTATATCACAGTTCAGAATGTGTAGATAATTTTCCCCTAAGTAAACTTAAGTCCTGGTGCAACAAGGGTAAAAGCCTTGTAGTAGGCGACTTTAATGTACCGTATATAAACTGGGTTAACTTAGAAGTAGGGTCATCGATAACGTCATTCGATTGCAAACTATCAGAAGCCTTGATTGCATTAGCCTTATTTTAACACACTAGAAATCACACAAGTATGACTTAAGAAAATCTTCTTGTCTTTAAGATTTAGTCTTCACACACGGTGATGACGTCGGTCAAATAAATTTTCTCCCACCACCAGGGAGAAGTGACTATGCAGTCATATTATTCAAATTCATGGCTAAGATTGCCTGTCAAACAGTTGCGCCGGCTCGTCCTAATATATGGAAGGCAGATATGGAGGCAATCAACTCCACAGCATCGGATGAAAACTGGGAAATTGACTCATGGTCAACAGTACAAGAGGCATGGACTCTCTTCAGGCACTTATACAATCGGGTAACTCAACCATGCATACCTTGGACTGTCCCAAAGAAGAAGAAGCACGGCCATCCCTGGATAGGCCGGGATATTCGACGTCTACTAAGACAAAAAAAGAAATATTGGAGTGCTGCTATCTGCCTTGGCACAGCAAGTACGATGGAACGCTACAGATCGATAAGAAACACGTGTATAACTAAAATTCGGGAAGCTCAAAGAAAGTATGAAATGCACTTGGCACAATCTGCATTCAAGCTGCCCAAGAGAATAAACTATAGAACAAGGATGCATCATTGGATTCCCAACCTAATTAAAGAAGGGAGTGAATCTGAAATGATAGAGGAAGATTAGGAAAAAGCAGAGGCTATGGCTGACTATTTTTGGCAGTTTTCACTCAGGAAGCTCCTCTAGATAAAGAACCAGACCAAAATACAGAGTCAACAAGCCACCTGCTCACCGTGGACTTCGATCAAGACGATGTACTTAAGGGTCTTATCACCCTAGACATGGAAAAGTCAACAGGACCAGATGAACTACACCCAAAATCTTGAGACATACTGCACAATATATCGCGGTTCCACTGACTGTGATATTCAATATGTCACTTGACCAAGGGGTGTTACCTAGGGACTGGAAGGACGCAATCGTCACTCCAATACATAAAACAGGACCAAGACAACTTCCATCGAACTACAGACCTGTAAGCCTCGCCAGTGTTGTAGTTAAAATATTGGAAAGAATAGTCAAACGGACCATAATGGCATTTATGGAAACCAATAAATTGTTAAATATAGAACAACATGGTTTTATAAAGGATTTATTTTGTACAACGAACCTCCTTATAGCAAGGAAATTTTGGATAAAGGCACTAGACAATGGAAACTCAGTGGATGTTGTCTACATAGACTTCAGTAAGGCTTTTGACAAGGTGCCAACTAACAGACTGCTATTGAAGTTCGAAAACCTTGATATTGCCGGACCTCCTTTGAAATGGCTTAAAGATTTCCTAGTAGGTCGTAGACAGAAAGTAATGATAAATTCCAAATGCTCCATCTGGAGACCAGTACTTAGTGGAGTACCTCGAGGTTCCATCGTAGGTCCTTTACTTTCTATACTGTATGTAAATGATCTTCCAAGTATAGTACAGTCCCCAATGTTATTATACGCCGACGATGTAAAAATCTGGCGAGTAATAACTGGAGACGAAGACGCATGTGCTCTTCAGGCAGACTTAAATAATATGATTGGCAGGTCTCAAGAGTGGCTGAAGCCTATCAACTGAAGCTGCTACCTTGACGCGGTGGTCGGGCTTGCCTATCGTGATGACCCAACCGAGCTATATTGGCTGGAACATATGTTCCTGTAGGTTCTACCATGCCAGGCAGGTCGATTGGTGAACGGTAAGACTAAAAGCAGCAACTCAAGGTCTGAGGGCGAAGTCGTACTGCTGACTGTAGAGGGGTGTGACAGCAGTAAGGTGTTTCCCTCGGACAACCAGCATGACAGCGATGCTGCCTTCCCACAAGGAGGGGTGGGGTTAGAAAAGGTCGACCCTAAAAATGTCACACCTCACCTTACCTCACGGATTTCCGTCTCCGGCGGTAAGGCCCTTTGAAGAACGGAGCTAACACGTTAAAAACCTTCCACAAAAAGGCCGTGCGCGACCGGCCTCAAGCAGTTGTCCCTTGGGCTCTGCGGTCACGCTCCCAGGTCGTCAAGACCAACACTAATCCAATTTCCTTTTCAGGTTCCTCAAGAAATACCCTTCCACGGTGTGGGCAGCCGGGAAGTGACATCAGCCCTCATACCCGTAACAGCACACGAGACCAAGGTGGTCACATTCAAATCCTTCCTACACCTCCTAATACCTCTCTTATCTCCATGACTAACCCTCCTCACGTCTCTTTATCACCTCGCACCGCTAGGGCAAACGATTCGAGTACGTGGAACGCCATTCCTGGTCTCCTGAAACCACGCTCTAAACTACACGTAGGAGCTTTTAACGTACGAACACTTTGCCAAATAGGACAGCAGGCTTCCTTAGCTAAAACTTTAGAATCTCGCGCCATCGATGTGTGCTGCGTCTCCGAAACGCGCATACAGGATCCGAGTAGCGTCATTCATTTGACCTCACCATGCCAAAATAAAGAACCGACTCGATTTACGCTTCGTGTATCTGGAAGCCCTGATTCTGCTTCCCGTGGCCTCGCCGGCGTAGGTATAGCATTGAGTCCTAGGGCAGAACTAGCTCTCTTAGAGTGGATCCCAGTAGACAGTCGTTTGTGCGCTGTCCGACTGAACGGAACAGTAAGAATCCGGAAAGATAGGGACACTCGTCGTTGCCTCTTCGTCGTCTCTGCCTATTCTCCCACTGACTGCAGCTCAGATGATGTAAAAGATGAGTTTTACAGAAAGCTTTCCGACCTTCTCCGAAAAGCTAGGCGCTCGGATGTAGTAATAGTGGCCGGTGACTTTAATGCTCAAGTAGGTAAACTAAGCGATAGGGAAAGACACCTAGGTGGATCTTATGGTGTCGTGGCTCAAAGAACAGATAATGGCGACCGTCTGTTGCAGCTATGCTCAGATAACCGCCTGTTCCTTGCAAATACTAACTTTAAGCATAAGGAAAAACATCTTTTAACATGGCGACCCCCTAATTCGTCCCAACGTTGGACCCAAATAGATCACATCGCTATCAGCCACCGATGGAGGGGCTCGATAGAAGACTGTCGCTCATTCTGGAGCACATGCCTAGATTCAGATCATGCTCTAGTGCGAGCGCGTATTTGCTTGCGTCTTACTGGACGTAGGAAAGACGCTGCAAGGAAACCTCTTAGGGCCTACTTAATGATAGTCAAGCTAAGAGTATATTTCAGGAACAACTAGGAAAACAGTTAGGCAGCCATGTATGTGATGCCCACCCCGATGCAGCATGGAATGATATCCGAAAAGCTGTGGAAACAGCAGTGATATCTGCTAGTAAGGTAAACCAGAAGGTTAGGGAGAAACACTGGATCTCAGCAGCATCTATCGCACTGATAGATGCTCGGAAACTCATTCCACCTGGCTCTGAACATAATGAAGAGCGGAGTCAGCTTAAGCGCAAGCTGACAAGAAGTCTACGCAATGATCGCGAACAGTGGTGGGTAGCGAAAGCAAGAGAGATGGAAAAGGCAGCGGCAATAGGTAATAGCAGACAATTGTTCAGACTCGTTAAGGAAACCGGAATTAGGAACCCGACCGTTAGCGAAACAATCTCAGAGAAAGATGGACATATTATTCATTCTCAATCCAGGAGATTGGATCGATGGGCAGAACACTTTAGGGATCAGTTCAACTGGCCTTCAGCCACACTTCGGTTTCCCACGATCTCCAGTCAACCTGAATGGCAAGTTAATGTAGGTCCTCCGTCTCTTTACGAAGTTGAAAAAGCCATAGGAAATCTGAAACGAGGGAGAGCAGCAGGCCCTGACAGGTTTACTCCTGAGATTTTTAAGGATGGTGGTCCAGTATTAGCAATGAGATTAACTGAGGTCTTAGGTAGAATTTGGGAACTGGACGTAATCCCATCTGACTGGTCTCAATCACTGATTGTGCCAGTTTATAAGAAAGGACAAAAGTCCTCTTGTGACAATCACAGAGGAATCAGTTTGACTAATATAGTGTCTAAAATATTAGCTTCAATAATACTTCGACGCCTAATCAAAGCTCGTGAAGAGCTGATTAGAGAAAACCAGGCCGGTTTTCGACCTGGACGTGGTTGTATAGATCAGATATTCACACTACGTCAGGTTCTAGAACACAGACACACATTCAGACGCCCCACAATGGTAGTATTTCTCGACCTTAAGGCGGCATTCGACTCTGTTGATCGTGAGGTTCTATGGCAGTGTTTGTCACTGAAAGGAGTACCAAAGAAGTACATTAACCTTATAAAGGCTCTCTACTCGAACATAACTGGTAGAGTGAGAGCTTATGGCGAACTGTCATCAGAATTGATTACCTCAAGTGGTGTTCGTCAGGGCTGTCCACTCTCCCCATTCTTGTTCAACTTTGTCATTGACGTACTTTTAGAGATAACACTCTCCTCATCTAAATTTCCAGGGGTTGAACTTCTACCGGGAGGTTCACTTGTTGACTTAGAATATGCTGATGACATAGTTTTATTTGGTGAAGAGGTTGGAAGAAAGCTAGAGGCGGCCTAACCAAAACATTGCACAAGTCCATGAAGTCACTGACAAGTGGACTGAGTCATGTTGGTATGTGTAGACTACCTGGTTGGGGACCACGAGATGATAGCAACCGATGGTTAGAGACCCTGAATGACATGGCTCAAAATCGTTTGCAATGGCGCAGGTGCATCCACTCTTGTGTTCTCCCAAATTCTAATCTTCTGAATTCTTCATGTCCCTTTCTTTTTTCTCTTTCCAAACTTATTCCACTGGATTATACTCCTTGAATAACATCTTCAAGCCCTAATCTTCCCGATTACTGCTTATACTCTTATTACCTCTACCACTACGGGATTTGAATCGATCACTGCATCTCTGTGCTAATGTGGTGTGGCAACTCGAACTGATGTACGTACGTACGAAGTTCTACGTTGTTACTGACTGACTGACTGACCATCAACGCGGCAGTGTGTCTACATGCACTTTGGGGATACAAAGGTTAATAGGTACAGCATAGGAGAACTGCCAATACTCGTGATCTGGTCTCATGAGGATCTAGGGGTGACAGTGAGTCATGATCTTTAGAAGACAGCCCATTGCCGAGAGGTCGCAGCTAAGAGGTTTAGAACCCTCTGGGCTTTAAAACGGACACTCACTAAGTTAGATATTACCATGTTCACCACTATATACACAACCTTAGTGAGAACTAAGCTTGAGAACTGCGTCCAGGCTGCAAGCCCCTGATTAAAAGGTGACTCGGATATCCTAGAAAAAGTACGGAGGACAGTTGCCCGTGAAATTCCAGAACTTTGGGGTTTACCATACAAAGGGCGGTTTGAAAAGCTGGACCTCTTTACTCTGTCCTACTGCAGACTAAGGGGAGATCTAATTTTCATGTAAAGAATACTGAAAAATGATTTTGGACCTAACTTATTCTTCCCCTAAATCGGGACATCTCGGAGGACATAGCAGGCTAGTAGAAAAGCCATTAACGAACAAAATACCCGTGGCATACAGGTTCCCACACCTGCTGCCCAAAGCAGTGGTGTCCGCACCTTCAATTGGCTGTTTAAAGGGAAGACTGGACATTCACAGAAGCATACTAGAAAAGGAGCAGCATAGACCATAGGCATTTTGTCCCTACTACACAAATCTGGACCTTTTGGTGACACTGAGCAACAATCCCAGGATGATTGGGATGCATTTATCCCCCTCTTAATGCAAGTTATTACTCCAAGAATGGCCTGCGTCAACACCTGGACCAAGGATAAGCAGTGAATTAGTCAAACGCGTTAATAAATTCACTTATCTTGGAAGCCTGGTCAGCCCTAATTGGTTGGTGTATGACGAAATCTATGCACCGATTCAAAACGTTCGTTTGGCTTTTACCAATTTCCGTCATCTATGGCAAAGGCGAGATATCTGTCTATCAATTAAGGGACGAGTATACTGCGCAGAAGTTCGTTCTGTTCTACTTTACGAATGCGAAACATGGCCATTGAGATTAGAAGATAGTCGTAAGCAACTAGTATTTGACCACAGATGTCTTAGAAATATTTCTCGTATCTGCTGGGATCACCGGGTAATGAATAGTGAGGTTAGACGCAAGGTATTAGGGAATGATGGTAAATCAGTTGATGAGGTTGCAAATCTACATTGACTGAGATGGTTGGGCCACGTGTTACCTATGTTTGAACACAGATTACCACGAAGCGCAATGCTGACTAGTGTAGGGGATGGTTGGAAGAATGTTAGGGGCGGTCAAACCAAAACGTGGCATCAGTGCTTGAAGTCACTAACTTCTAGTTTTAACCATGTTGGTAGATGCAAACTACTTGGTTGGCTATCGTTACCAATGGTTGGGGACTGGGTGACATGGCTCATAATCGATCATAATGGCGTAGGTGTATACACTTTTTCTTCTTTTAGGCTGTGAGATTAAAATTACTTTATACCTTCATTTCTACCAACTAATTCTTTCTTTCAATATTATATCCTTATGCACAACCTTTCTTTTATATATTACTACAAGTGAAGTCGGTGTTCATCTTGTTGTGCTAATGAAGTGTGGTAAGTTGGACCGATGGATGTATGTCCCTGGTCCTACGTTAGAGCTGACTGACTGACTGACTTTCCTCTAACTTAGTCATCAAGAACCAGAATTGTCTCAAGCATCCTGTAACTAATGCACTAATCAAACCGTAAAAATAATTTCTAATAAACACCGGAGACTTACCACATACAAAGCATGGAGGGCACCGAGCAAAGACGCCAAACAAGAAACGGATGGTTCAAGCCAAGAGTGTCCCAACTTTTTAGCCGTTTTCAATGGACTCAACAGAAGGAGAGGTCTTTTAGATCCGATTTTGATAGCTCTAAAAAAACATACAGTGCATTTGGAATAATGTAGGATTTTGATGAAGTATAAGTGCGCTCCGACCAGCTAATACCTCGTAGAAACATGTAAGACTTTCATTGAATTTAGCTATAGATTATATAACATGAAGCGATTTTGATGAATGGTAGAATAAGGTCATACCGTGTTTGCATGTTAGCCTCACAACTGTGAAAGAATAGTTTCATACCACGCTGAAAGATGTGTAGTTTTCGGATGATAGTATGTACAAAGTACAAATTACATCAAACTTAGTTAAGCAGAAAGAGAAATAAACTCCTTATGAGTTGGTGGCTGAACCATGAACCCTTGAGAAGTACTATTGATCTTGGTGAAATATACAGTTCTATGAGGCTCGACGAATTAACTCCAGAGGCTTTTAAGAATTGTGGAACATTTTTAACAGTCAGGTTGACTGAAATACTATCTGGATGTTTGGAGCTGGGAAAAATCTTACCCGACAGGCCTCGACGGTTGGATGTCTGAGTCCAGAAATAACTAAGGCTTTCTTTTGATAACAAATAAGAAAACGGTTTGACTAATAAAATATCTAAAGTATTAAACTTAATAATCACCAATTGATCGTCTGGAACTGACAAATAACAAACTCCGTAAAACCGGGGTGGGTTTCGATCTTGATAAGCGTATATAGATCAATCATTTATCATTCGTCAGGCTTTGAAACATTGGCATAATTACCGCTAACAGTTGTGATTTTAGACCTCAAGGCATACCAAAGTACATAAAAATCGTGAGATCTTTACTTGAACACTATTGGTTGAAGTAATGGTTATGGTCAACTTTCACTGAAATTGCCAACTTCAAGTAGTTTCCTAGAGTTGCTAGTCATTCCTGTTGTTTTAATCAACTTAGTCATACTTTTAGTAATATCCCTTCTTTTGTCTGACTTCAGGAATTGATATTCCAAGAAACTTATGGACTATAAATATACAGTATATAATCTCAGGTGAAGACGCTAGTAGAATACAAGGATTTATGATCGTCTTGAGTAATGCACTAATGTTAGTATATTTGGGATGCCTTTTTCTCCTTCTAAAGAAATATACTGCTCTAAGGCTGATTTATCAATGAGAAACTAATGATAGAGAGCAAAGTTATTGAATGCGTTTTCCACCTTGCTTTTTTATTAAGTTTTATCAGACCTGGTGGATCGATGGCTGATTTAATCTTAGCACTAGTTTAAAAAGCTTATCTGGTTTGAGATATCCGTCTGCCAACGAAGGGACGAGTATACTACACAGCAGTTCGCTGTGTTGCTTTAAAGATGCCAAATACAAATTATAGAACAAATTTGTAAACTTCAAGTTCTTGACCGTAGGTGTAGCTATAGCTCTGCAGGTGTATGTTGAAAACACAGAGCGATGGAAAAATTAAACGTACAGTACCAGGCAAAAATGGCAAATTGGTTGACAAGATTCTGAATACCTACCAATTGAGAAAATCAGGACGTATATTACGTACGCCCAACCAACACCTAACCAACGTGTAATATTGGACATCAGAAGTAAGGAGAAAGGTAGGTGTGCCAAAACCTAAACGTGGTATCAGTTGGCGGAGTTATTTACTGTTTGTTACTTTTACATAATTATAAACTTGCTCACCGTACTTTGGTTGTTTATTCTGAACCCGACGTTTACCTCCTTTATTTTAATTTTACACCTAACCACCAGATGTTTGCTGAGTAATGTGATATCTAGATGAAGCCACTTATGTGCTTATCATAGAGATATTGGAGATAGTGAGATCAGACTTTAGCAAACAATCTGACCTGACATATGACTGAATTAAGTGATTGAAGTTGTCTATCCTCATATAAGTCTTTTCATATTGTAACCACCTGCCTTTTATACCTCACATTTACTTACTGAGATATACCTTTCGTCGATGCTTCAGTTATTCGACGAGCATCATCAATGTCTTGATCAAGGTGACCAGTAAACGAAACGACCTAGGAGACTTTATAAATGAACATCAACATACCAAACGTTTAGATGGTAAAGAACGACAAGTCAAGGTGTGGACATCTGAAGAGAATTTCTTGTTCACCTAAAAAAATTATAACCCTGCTTCACACAGACCTGTGATGCTTCTTGTAACGTTTCGAACAGAGGCGTAAACGAGAATGCATCTGACACGTCTTCGACTACAAGTACAACAGAATCGAAGTCCTGAGAACATATATCTGACGTGACGACAGGCCGTATTGACTCGCGATGTGTCATAGCAGCGACGATTGACCTTGAAGTATTTGAACGGACAATCCGAGATATACAGAAAAACCGGGAACTAAAAAGTGATTTCGGGTAGACCTTTAAAGTTGATTTGTTATGCTTACCTTAACCTAAACAAACTGTGAAATAGCATTAGATGGTAAGTGAGTATTACAAGCACGGAGGTGACCTTGGGAGAGTATTCAATAGTGTTCGTTCAAAAATTACTTTTCCCTCATATATTCGGTCTCTCTACACAACAATCTGAACATATAAACTTCCCCATTTGGCTTGTTGCCTCAACGGTATAATCTATTGACCTAACATAGTTCGTAACAAATGTTTCGGTCCAAATACTACCGCAGTTTCAGTCTCAGTTTCAATCCTCAAAGGACAGGAGCTGGGTGGCTTGTGTTGATCATGTAGCGGTAAACAAATCCCCAAAATAAATAGCTCCGTAAGTCTTCGACATTGGATGCTGAACACATTAGTTTTAAAGGACTCAGTTAGCTGAAGGCGCTCGGTTATGCATACGCACCAGATCACGAGTGGGAATGCCATGCTCAACATCCCCTGCAATCGGTAGCCAGATTAGATCAGAGTACCTGTGCCATCTTCAATCATGGCAATCGTGGTCTCTCAGTCTAACCGACTTTCTTCTGAAAGCGTCGACAGACGAAGTAATGAATTCCATTTGCTGATGACTCGACGGGAAAGTCGATGGTCAGTTGACAAGTGATTTGTTCGGGGCTTGTGAACACTTCAAGTATTCTCATAAACCCTCTATTTTGTAAGACAAGAGAATTAAGATAGACTTGGTTTAGTCTGTTGGCCACTATATGGAAGCTTTGTTATTCCGGTTCGTTGAATCTTTTCTAACAACTCACTGACTACTTTTAGCCAGACGCCAGCCGACTGTATGAAACACTCCACGTTAGGACGAACGAACACTGTATACGGAGTCAAAAAAGGTTTCAGCGTTGACATAATTAACTAATCTTTGACACCTTTAGTGGTGAAACTGATGTGATCTGGTACACCAAACAGTAAACTGTGAGTCTGTACATTGTCGGAACGTTATCTTATCCTTTTTTAATTTCTATTTTTACATAATGTGATATTGTTTTCGTATTTTCGGACGATTTTTTCCCATCCGCTTGTGTGTTTATCACAGAACATATACTGAAGTTGTTTGATATTAGGACTCTCACGTTTCTTCAACCTATGTCACTCTGATCCAACAATATGAAAGCCTGGTTCTGCTATGCAGCGGGAGAGTTTTTCGTGCCTTAAGGTAACCCTCGTGCTATTGATAGAAGAAACCAGACAAGTAGCGAATAGGTCTTTATTTCGATCTTCGCGCAGCCACAGTGGAGCGTGGGATTATCTGTTCAGACAAACAAAGGTTCTCAACATTCAATATAAGATAATAGGGAATATAACGCTTATACAAAATAAGGAAGTGAATGAATACTTGAACAATACTGCTTTGGCATATGCTTGGTTGTTTGAGGTCAACTCTTAACCAACCAACCTAAGCTGTTACATTAGCTTCTCCCCCCACGAGCATGGTGTAACAGACCGACGCGAACAAGTTTTCTCAGAAGTGAAAGCACTACCGTGCGATTTTAACAGGTACTTCGCACCTAGTTTGTTTACTGGTAATGTGCGGGAACTTTACGACTGCTTGAAGAAGGCTGTTCTTAGACGTAGGCACCTGACGACCGACAAAGATTTGACCAACTTTTCCACAACATCGAGCTGCACAATGACTTGACAACAGAAATGTTGCTACAGCCTCACCAAGTCACAGGTCAACGGACCTTTGACGATGGCCTGTTCAGACAGCTCTTCTTATTTAAGCTTCCCCACCAAGTGTAGTCAGTCCTAATCCCATTTTAAAATAACGCTGTAGATGAATGCATCTGCCGACTGGAGTCTGAAGATCATTAGAACCCCTCATTCCCGGGGATTATTCTTCCAAAGAAAAACCTTGGAAAACACAAAACGATGTTATTGATCGCTGACATACTCTCACTCGTTATCCTAATATTCATCATAATCGTAGACGTTCCCAAGCCTTTCGAAGAAGTTCGTTATGAAAAAGATCTGTCTCTATACCACGAGAAGCAGACAATCCTGATTGGTGTTGGTGTCACAACAGTTATTGAAAGTCTTCTAGAAACCACTGAACGCCCTGCAGTTTCCCAATCTTAAAACCGTACGACATGGTAAAACATTGGAGAAACTTCACAGCCGGCATGTGTAGCGATAGCCGTAGCCGGCGAATACAGCCGTCCGTTGTACACCACTGATGTGATGACGAACGTATACTATCTCGTCGATACCGGCGCCAAAGTTAGCGTTCTTTCTGTAAAATCATAACGATCGAATCCACTAGCCGATATTCAACATGCAGGCGCCAAAAGGGAAACCGATTGCCACATACGGTAGACGATGCGTGCATCTTGACGTCAGTTTACGCGAACTCATTCACTGGACCTTCGTTGTTGCAGATGGTTCAATTCCGTTTATTGGTATAGACCCACCACAACAGCATAATCTTCTTGTCGATACGTGCAAACGGAGTTTAGTAGACGGAACAACTAATATATATTTATTTGTGTAACTTCTTTTTCCGATTGTAGATTATTCCCAGTCACAGTAAAACACACGATCGACCCATACTACCAAGAGATACTCGTTAAGTACTCTGATCTGTACCAGACGTGAGCAAAATAGCCGTATGCAACCAGCAATGTTGCACACCACTTCACGACTACGGGACCATCTGTATTTTTGAAATCACGCCGACTAGCTACCGAAAAACTGAGGTTGATCAAAGACCACATGGCAGACTTGATAATTATTCAGCCATAGAACAGCCCATAGGTATCTCCCTTGCACACTGTCCCTAAAAAAGACACCAACGATTGGCATCCAGCTGGTGACTAACGGTGACTGGATACGAAAACCTATCCTGATCGTTACCGGTCACCTCACATTCACGATTTGACAGCTTTCCTTTAAAGGTACGGCCGTTTTTCTGAACACCGATTTGGTTAAAGCAGATAACCAAATTCCCATGGCTGCTGACAACATTCCTAAATCCACTATCATCAATCCCTTTGAACTCTACGAATTTTTCCGCATGCCATTTGGTTTGAGATATACCGCTCAAGCTTTCCAGAGATTAATCGGTGACGTTTATAGAGGTCTCAACTTCTTGCATATGTTTGTTAATGACAGCTTGGTTGCAAGTCCGGGTAGAGATACTCATTCCATCATCTAGAAGCTGTCTCCAAGCGACTGCAAAAGACACGGAATTACTGTAAACATCTAAGAATGTCAAATCGGCACCGACTCACTAGATTTTATCGGACATACTGTTGATGCTCAAGGCAATCGACCGTTGAAAAAATGAAGTGGCAGCGATTCTGGATCGCTTAGAACCGACAACAATCAGCAAACAACGCGGGTTAAACGGTCTAGTAAGTTTCTATAGACGGTTCATGCTGGATTGCGCGTCCATCATGAGAACTTTCACCGATCAACTTCGTGGAAATGCGAAAATCATCAATTTGGACTATGTCATGAAGAGAACACTCTCCACAGTTAAGGAACTTGTCGTCAAAGCAACCATGCTCGCACATCAGGACATATAAGCATCCATTAATACCGCAGTAGACATATCCGACTCGGTAATCGGAGGAGTCTTACAACAGTGGGCTAACCACACCTGGCAACTCGAGATGGTTGCTAGATACCGGATTGATGTATTGCACTCTAGGTAGGGAACCCCTGGCCATGTACTGTGCTGTACGGCACTTTTAACACTCTTTTGAAGGCCAAGAATTTTGCCGATTACAAACCTTGTACGTTCTGTTTAAGCTCATCTTCAGATAAGTACTCCCTTCGAGAGTCTCGAAGACTGGACCACATTTTGCAGTTCACATCAAATATACATTTCTGTGACAAACAATGTAAATGCAGACGTTTTCCTCGTGTAACTTCCTTGGACAGTTTCCAGGGATCAAAAATCCCAAACACGCCCAGCTTCGAAAAGAAGACACTGATCTTCAGCACGAGTTGTCGTCCACAACCCTGGAGCTGTGTATAAAAGAGATGTGAACAGGTAGGGAAACTTTGCTATGCGATACATCTAAAGGTGGGGATCGTCCAACCGCGCCGAAACATCCAAATGGATACCCTTATCTCTTAACTTGTGTAGACCGTTTCACTCGATGACCGGAGGCAGTGCCCATCAAGGACATTACTGCCAAAAAAGTAGCCCACACCTTCGTCGAAAGATGGGCAGCAAGCTTCGGCTGCTCTTCAACTATCACTACAGACCGTGGGCGTCAGTTTGAATCTGGACTTTTCCGTTGTCTTTATACGCTACTAGGAATCGTAGTAACGTACATCGACGACCTCTCAAAACGGACCACAAGGAACCCTTCGAAGCCCTCAGTGCAAAACTAAATACTATGCCATCGATGAAAACAATAACACCAGTATTGACTGCGCACCCCAATAATATTGATTTTCTCTCGGTACACCTGAGTGACACGAGCGCCATAATTACAATGATCAAAAAACTTTGCTGGTTTCTTGAAACCGGTCTGAATCAACGTCATGTGTGCGGTCAGATAGATTGTACGCAACTGGTTTGTAGAGAGACATCACTCTTTCGGTTATATCTTTATCTGCAAACTCCAAAATACTTTCAGATTCAAGGTTTCCTCCATTCCTAAGGGCCCATATATGTGTAAAGTGTTGTAACTGATTAAACGTAACGTTAATTTCGACAAGAGAGTTTTTCAATCGTCGGATGTCGGTACTATGGCGACCAGTATTTTGCTGTGCGTGAGACATATTGAACCGCCTGACTTTTGAATTTTGGATTCAGGCCTTAGCGAATCATGATAATGCGTACACTTAACTGACCCTCCAGTATACGTAGGTTTTGTATTTTTTATATCAACTAGTCGTATCACTGGCATACTGCATGAAGTGATGGAGGGGTTGCGACGTGAAGAATCAGGCAGTGATAGTGATATGTTTGGATGAGATGCGTAGAGCGAAATGATGAAAGTTTGAGATTGTCACGCAGTGATTCGTCAGACTTTGACTTTATATGTGGCTTAAAAGAAG